AAAAAAATGGCTGTATGTTTAATTTAAAACCAGAGAAAAACTAAATTTGTTCTGCTCACAGTTATCTTTTATTTCACTAAAAATGAACATTTAGCCATTTTTTTTCTTGCATCAGGATCAATCACCCTTGCAATTTGCCATTCATTGAGACACTTACATCTGTGGAGGTCATTGATAAAATCCGGTCCAGATCTTCTACCAGCTGTCTGAACGTGGGCCTCTGAGACGGGACGGCGTGCCAACACTCCCTCATGATCATGTACCTGTAAACCCAGACAACGAAGCGCTGTTATTCTGCAGCTGATGGATTCAAGTTAACAACAAACATAAAAATCGCTGATCCTGCTGATTTAATATTGACAGTCTTATTCAAGAATCATGAGGAGTTCAGCTTATTGTTAACATTGTGATGAAACAATAAATATGTCAGACACATACAGGTCATGCGTGCAATTGGCAGGTTTGTCCATCCGATGTCCTTCTTTCAACAGTTTGAAGAGTTCCTCCACTGGGATTCCCGGGTACGGTGAGCCTCCCAGAGTGAATATCTCCCATAACAAAACGCCGTAAGACCATCTGAGCAACACAAAACACACACACAACACTTATTACCAGGGTTGTAACGTTTGCCTTGAAACTTTAGGCTTGTGTGGGTGACGGCTAACTGTCCATGCAGTTCAAAGTCCTTTTAGTTAGAATCCCAAAGAAATACTGGACTCTTCTCAAGCTTTATAAGTCCCAAAGCAATGTGGTGTAATCCCTCCCCCACCTGTTGCTGTCATGCTGGCTAATGGAGGGCAACTACACATTCTCATTTGTGACAAAGATTGCGGCTGAAATATTTAAGCTCACCAACCACTTTTTAGTTCTCCCCATTATGACCTTCTTCTTAAAAAAACCCAACAACAAATAAAGTTATGTGTATTTATATAAGGTACTTTGTTTATTCAATATTTATTTAGGGAATTAATTTTGTAGGCAAAAAGGTCTGAGATGATTTTATTTTAAAGGACTGTTTTGGAAACTGGACTCTTAACTTCCAGGAAGTTATAAGAACAGTGTTTGCATTGACATAGAAGAACATTTGGTGACAAGCTGGTGATGAATAAAAAGCAGAGACCTTTGAGATTTATAGCTTTTTTTCCTTCGGATTGTACAGCTAATAAGGTATTATATTAGTTTTTTGGTAAAATAAAGTTTTATAAACATTATTTCCCTATTCTTTTAAGACAAACCCACAACACTGATATTGTGTCTTTATTTCAGATCCAGTTCCTGCACTTCATCTCCGTCACTGACACATGTCCATGTCCAACCCCCTCCCCTTGATATTCCCCCAGTTCAAGTTTAAGTGTCTGGGATCAGGTCACTGAGGCCTCCACTTCTGACTGCTGACTGATCCTCTTTGGAAGGGTCCCTTATGGTCCCCCTGCATATGGTGGCTCACTCAGTCATGACCTGGTCAGGTAGCTTGCCCTCTACAGGTAGGAGGGTGTTCCTAACTGAAGAGGAGTTTAAGTATCACAGGGTTCATGAGCGGGGGGAGAAAATAGCAGGTGATCGACAGGCGGACCGGTCTTTTGTGGTGAAGACATTTAACAGTCAGTACATTCCTACCCCCCTTATGGTTATGACGAAGAGAACAATATTCTGATTGTGAGTTGAAACTGTAAAAAGGAAGATTTTCCTTTATCAAACATCAATCTTTGTCTTGGGGGAGATTTATTGATTCTAAATAACAGCACATTAGCATAATTATGAAAATCAGTTGGATATCCTAACTGCTTCTGGCGCTGGGGATTTGTGAAAATTGTGAAAAAGAAAACATCAAAAACAGAACCAAGGACAGCCTGTGTTTGTTCTGTTCTCCTTTCTGACCCGGACACTGATAACTTTCAGTTACTGGAATTACATCATCCTCATGAGACCAACAAAAAGACACAGAAAGCTAAAGAGTGGTTCCTCTAACACCTTCATCAGACAACCAGCAAGGTTCAAAATACTGATTCTGAAAAAAGTCATTAGGCTGGTGATTTAGTGGAGGCTGATCGCTCCAGTTTTCACAGATATTACTCAGAACAAATGGGGAATTTTTATGGATTGTTTCCAGCTGGGAGCTAATCTGTGTTTGCTGCTCCTCTGAGATTTCTCAGCAGGTGGACTACTGGGTTGTTTTAAGTTTTATGTGTGATATTTTCTTATTTTAAAGGAGTACCAGAGACTGCTAGTCTCGCAAAGCGAATTAAAAACCAAAAGATGCTCTTTCAACTTAGAAACAACAACTTTCTCCTCTTTTGGCAATAAACAGAGAGTACATTTCCATCCCATCTAATGTTCCATCCACTACCTATTGTGCCTCTAAACCAAGCCATCATGTAAAATCCTTTCTACTTCTATGGCAGCAGCTTTATAAAACTATTGAATTATTTCTAAGTCATAAAAAAAAGTGAGGGGAGGTGATCGCATAATGGGCATTCAATTAACCCAGGCTGCTATTGTTGGGCTGTTCATCTTTTGAATCCCAGTTCCCCCTCCTCCCTTTAATCTAATTATCCATGCACTGATCTGCAGCCTTATTCGGCCAGGCCGGCTGGTCCACCCTCTGACTGGGGAGCTGGACAGAAGCCAACAAGAGCGGAGGAAAAATAGTGATTAACAGTTTAAGGCAAGTTGTGCTTGACAGGTCTATGTGGAAAAGAGACGAGAGAAAAATGAGGCACAGCATTTTATACTCAATGCAGCTTTTCCCAGCTGTGCATAATATTCTGGCTGAATCTAGGGGGGCGTGTAGGGCACAGACCGCGAACTTACAACACCACACTACACGTAGAAGTAGAAAACAGCTACTTCTAACATTTGCTTAAAAAACGTGCAATTTAATTCAAGTAAAAATACTTAATTAATCCCAAAGGGAAATCATATTATGTAGTTGGTTTGATTTTCCAAGAGTCGTAGATGTTGATAGCTATAGGCAACAAGGACCTTCTATAATAAAGAGTAGTGAATCATCTGTAGATTACCATTTGTGAAATCATCACCAGAAGTTTTCCAGTCTCTTAAAATCTCTTTAGGCTCTTATGTCTGCAGAAAGCATAACCCATTGATGGAAGAGATGGCTTCTATTTCCTCCTCTTCTTTCATCTCTTTGCTCCATCTCTACATCGTCTGCTCCTCCTATTCAAATCAACTGCTTCCAGGTGTGAAAATGATCCTTGCATTATTTATTATGCATCATAATAAATATCCAAAAAGAAAATAACTGGGAAAATCCTTCCAGTTGCACACTATCCAACACAAAAAAGTAAACTGATCCACAAACAGAGAATCTAAAGTTCTCTAAAAGAAAATCATAAGAATCAAGCAAGCAGAGCTACTCGAACATGCAAATGTAGTATGTATTTACATGTTTGTGTGTATTTAAATATTGATCAGTTACTAAGCTGCATATCTATCTATCTATCTATCTATCTATCTATCTATCTATCTATCTATCTATCTATCTATCTATCTATCTATCTATCTATCTATCTATCTAT